GGGGATGCTTGCCTGGGAAACCCAATCATAATGGTTCTGCTGTAGCTAAGAATATGTATATTTTTATAAAGGCGACTTGAGGAAAGAGAGGTTTCTTTTAGGAAAGCCTTCTATTGGCTCCAAAGCAGCCTATTGTAAAAGCAGAACTTAAGGAAGACTCAGGTGGCCAGAAAGAGGGCAATTGGCTTAGCAAGTTGGCATTCCTTGCTATATAGATCAGCAGGTAGGTCCTTCAAGTACAATCCATCCTGGCTAGGTATACCTGGCTTAAGGCAGAGGACAGAATGACTCTGTCTGCCTTGAAACCTATATCCTGAATACAGAAAAAGTATTCCTGAAGATTCAGCTGGAGAAAAGAGGGAGGACACAGCATCAGCTCTGGCTGGCATGAGAATCAGGAAAATCCACTTCCACTTTCAGGCAGCAAATTTGGGTTTTGCAATAAGGGAAGGTGGAGACAGACTGACGGTAGTCAAAAATGCAAAGGAAGGCTGTCTGTAATTTTCCAGCTATGTAAATGGTTCCCACAGAGTATGTGTGTTTGCAGGGAGGGATGGAAGCTTGGAGGCAATTTAGAACAATTTTGTATGCTAGAATTGAAAGTGATCCCAACAACTGGAAGCTACCATAGTGTGGAGGAACCTGAGTTTTGTTCTGGCAATGGAGCTATAGAAAGGTTAAAAAAAAAAAAAAGCCGTCATATTCAAAACCATATCCAGGAATCCTGCAGCTATTTCTGTGGCGATAAAACTTTCAGAGTTGGTCCTCATCCTCTTCCTCCTTCTTTTTATTTTGTCTTTCTATTTTAATACCCTTTAGAATGCAACACATTGCAGTTGCAGCATAAGCAGATGTTTTTGCAATGCGTTCTAGTGAGGATCAGTGTTTTCCCAACTACTGATGAAGCCACGTTCAAAATTACTGCACAAGATTTATAATTCTGAAGAGTTAAAGCTTCAAAGAGACCTGGCTGAGAATGATAAGCCAGAGGAGATATAATATCGTATGAGAAGGAATTAATGAATTCATATAAAGTGACCTTATCCCTCTTACTGTTGTGTGTTTTTCCATGTGCCAGGCATTGTGCCAATGGCTGTCTAAGTGCTAGTTCACACATATCCATCGCGGCACAACTATGAGGCAGGTATTTTATCCCGGTGTTACAGATGGGAAAACTGAGGCTTAAAATGATTTGCTTAAAGTAAGAGTATTCGATACTTCCAGAAAATAAAAAATAAATAAACTTACACCATTTGAAGTAGGCCACTCAGTTGAGACAGAAATCCATCAGACAATGCATAAATTGTAATCTATACAGGTAATTATGTTACAGACAATGAGCTAACAGGAGTCATGTTTATTCCAAAGTAATGGTTAGTATCTACATTATTCAAATTATTTATCAAAAGTATGCATTGAAAGTAAGCTTCTTATCAATAATATTTCAGTCAATGTGGAGGCACTAAGAAGGAAACACGAACTGGTAGCATCAGGTACTACGGTTCTCCTGCTGGGTTAAACATAACCAGGCTATAACTAAATCCAGGTCCACTATCTATTTCTCTTCTTGCGATTGACTCTCCATAGAGAGCAGAGATTTATATTTTCTCTCATTTCTCTACACACATGGTTGAAAAATTTCAGTATAAACCATGAGGGGTACTCTGGCAATTTGAATCACATTTTTTACCTACAGTGTTCAGGCTGAGGATGAGTAGTTTTCTACAGACCTCAAATTTCCTGCAAACAAGATATTTTAGAATCTCTAAAAGGTCCTTTTTTTCTTCCCTGTCTTGCTATATTTAATTGTTAGCTATTTTCCATTTCCATGATTAAAATTGAGGCGAGTACTGAAATGTGGTCAACAAAATTCTCTGCTTACAAATTCAGCCAACTGGAAGAAACCAGTATCTTGACCATATTCAAGGTGCTTTGATTTTTTTGGTGTGAACGTGTGGTATAAATGGTTCACTGTATTTTTGACCTTTACTTCTACCTTTATTTATACTGAAGGTTGCTTTCCTATTCTGGCAGAAATATAATTCTTATATATTTAGTAGAATTACTTGTGAAATAATTCATCTGTGTAGGAGACAAGAGACAGCTCATTTCTATCTCATTTTGTCTTTTATTGTGAATTAATTGATATAAATTGCATTGGGACCAATCCATATAAGAGAAAAGAAAAATTACAATAATTTTGAACTGAAATACATGGTGGCAAGTTCCTTAGAAAATGCCAAATACTGAAATCATCTCCCTTAAAGATCAAATTAAATAGGAGACAAACTTATTCATCAACTATAGATTTGATTATATTAGCTCTCTCAACATTTTAACATTTTTCTGGTAGGCTGGAACTTGTAACTCATACTGCTGTCAGTGGAGAAGTATCAGATACTGACCATTTTAAAATTTATCTTAAGAAGGAAAAAAAAAAAAACTATAAACATGGCTATACCATCTGATTCTATCTCTCCGTGTTTCCAACATAGAATATGCCATCATTTTAAAGTAAATCATATTTAGTATTTTGATTTTTTTGGTACTTTTTTGTGTTCTCTCATCATTAACAATTAATTTGCAGTAAGCATGCAAGATATCTATCTATCTGTCTATCTATCTATCTATGATGAATCTATTGATCTATCTATGTGTCTATCTATCTATCTCCAATGTCTTTTACAGCTTCTTTTCATTACTTTGTTTCTACATATTAAGACAAGACCATTTTTTTCTGTTTTTACAGTACCTATTCAAGTGCCAAATAAGTAGTGGTCTATGAAGCAAAACTCATGAATTTCTGATCTAGGAAGAGGAACACAGAGAGTATAAACTTTATATATCTATTTCAAACTTGTGGTTTCATGATTTATTTTGTGAAGGATATGTTGAATATTTGGATCCTAAATCCAAAATCACAGTGAGCAGAAGTCCTACTTTCCATAAGGCAGTCCTGGTTTATAGTGTTTTTCAGACATAAATATAAGCAGTGACCCCTCTCACTTTAAAATGTGTCCCAGTAGAAACAATAAATTACGTGGTCGCTCTTTGTAAAACAAATAAACACAGTCTAAAATAAACAATCATGATGTATGGAGTACTCTTTCTGTTTCAAGTCATTTTTCAATAATAACTGACGTCTTTAAAAAAATTTACAAAACAAAATAATATGAAAAACCTATAAGATAGATCATAATTTTAACTTCTATTTTCCAGTATCAAAATAAAACAGATAATGACATGATATTAAATATCCTATTACAGGGTTTATTATAATGTGTGATGAAGCAGAATGAGGTATTCTAAGTATTTAAACTTCTACTTTCTACTAATTTCCAAAATTTAAGAAAACACATACAATTCATTCATTGTAGAATTAAATCTCTTCTTTAAAAATATTAGGGCATAATAAATATGTGTCAAAATTAGACTTTCCCTGGTACCCAATAATATCTTCCCATTCACCCAATACCTTATGTGATGCCTTCTAGGACCACACAACAAGCGTGTCTTGAAGTTACAAAATTTACAGGAAACACTAAGGATCTCAGAATATTTGGAATGGGAAGTAACTTCTTCATGGAGAACTTTAAATGCTGTGCATTTTATATGCAAAAATAATGCCCGATACTTACTAGTTCATAATCAGAATAAACATGGACCACGCTTACGCACAGACTTCCAGTTCAGTTTGGGGTGTCTAAGGAGGCTTTGTGTTAGAAATATTCATATGATTTCCATTAAAAAATATTGGTGATGGTAATAAAGAAACAAAGACAATGGACTTGGATTACAGTTTCTAATCAAGGGTAGCTAACATATGAATACTCCATTATAGAGGAGACAGAAAGAGTTCTGTCTCCTTAGTTTTTATAATGGTGGAAGTCCGTTAAATTAGTAATATCCATATAACGACTGTCATTTCCTTTTTGTGATTCATCCACATTTATCAAAGCATCCCCAAAGAACGATGTAGCATTTTGTTAAAAGGCAAGGCCATACTATATTTAGCCATACAATGTTATTTTATTTCATAAAGGAAATTTTATCAAGATTCACTATCTCTTTAAATAGAATATTGCAAACAGTACAAACAGATATCTTGAATCAAATTTTACTCTTCTGAGTATAGCTTGTATACAGTCCACTGAGAGAGCTAAACAGATCCCTGTAGTAAAGCCAGAAAGAAGCCTGAGACATTGTTTATATTTTGCTAATCATTCTAAAACCGCTACAACTAAGACTTAAATACATTTGAACAAAAATCAAGTTTTATAATTTTTTTAAATAGATAGCAGCTTAGGAAACAAAACTTTCCAAATGAGATAGACTTTAAACAATAATATATGACTTTCATATATAATAAATAACATAGTTAAAGAAAACAGTAATCCAAGGTTGCTCCTCAGAAAATCTAATGAAATGGATTAAATGTGCTCAGTGAGTGAAAGACTTAACAATAAATCAGTACCTATTAGCTCCAAAATAATACTGATAAGAAATGTCCTTCAAAAAGGATTTTCTGAACTAATTGTTATTGTTAAAGTTGGTACAGGCTTAAAACAAATACCTTTAATGTGTCCCCACAAACCAGGCAAAATTAGAATAGTTTTCCCTAAAGACGTGGTAAACAGTCAATTAAAACTTAACAATTGCAAAGTGTAAGCCAATTCCCCCTCTAAGGGATATCTCAGAATCTCAAAATACCCGGCCGCTTTCACAGGGGTTAAATTTTACGCTTCATTTTTTAAAGTAAGGTGATTGAGGTATTTCCTGGGAAAAAAATTAACTTTTTACATTAACAAATTTCTTATCTCTTGTTTAAGTATTGAAAATTAGAAACTAAGGTAATTACCATGCCATTACGCTGATAAGCTGAATTTCAAGTGCTCACGGGTGAACAAAAATTATTTTAATGATATTTTCAGTGATGTTATGAAATCGCATCCTATTTTCCAATTTATATTGTACTCTGTGTAGAAAGCTAATATATTTACCTTCATTTTTCTTGATGGTGAAATTCGGATTGTTGACCATTTCTGGAAGGAGACTGTATAAGAAATAATGTCCATTTTTGGGATCATCTTTGTCCATGGCGCTAACTGTTTGAATGACCTGAAACATAAAACTTGACGTCAGCATTTCTGATGATTCCAGAGGCTCCTACCATCGGTAAAAGCTTAGTGACATTCTTTTTGTGGCCTGATACTTTGACTCAAAGTCTCTTTTTCAGCTTTCTGAATTGTCATGGATGGTTTGTGCCAAGAATAAGGAGAAAAATCCATTACTTTAAAACCTCAGCTTCAATAAGTTGATGAAAATTAAGAGCATTACCTTTGTGTCCATTTGGTGTCTGTGGCTTGAAATAGCAAAGTTAAGTGTATTTGAAATATCCACTGGGCAATTACAGGTTTCTTTCCAATTTGAGTATTTACGGGCATCTAGAATGAGATTTGGAATTGTTACAGTGATTGTAGTGTGGTTCTTGGGAGGATCTTTGAGGTAAATGGCTTAAATCTTGAATCCTCACAACTCTTTTACTCATCAGGTTATAAGTGTTTGCCAAATAGTGTTCCTCAGCACAAACATCACTGCAACAAACCTCTCTGATGAGTTGCTTCTGTTCCCTCGCAATAATGAATAATGTTTTTTAAAGCTAGTGGATAACACGTGCAAACAATGCTTTGGAGTGTACCCTGAGATGAATAAATTATAGGGATTAGAATTACCACGGTGCAGAGAAATTTTTGGATAGATAGAGGTACTTGGAATTGGTGCCTATTGAATATGCTTGTTTCATTTGCAAAGCTACATTAACTTAATGCTAAAGTTGTTTCTTGGGATGTCAGATAATTATTTTAATAACTTGTATTTATGATGCTGTGATATTGCTAGTTCAATGTGACAAACTGGACAAGCGCTAATGTAGGAAAAATTTGAATGTATACTCCTACTGTGATAATAGATTTACCATAAAAAGTAGTTGACAGTGAAATGTTCTCAGGTTTATGATATTTCGAGGATATAATAATGATGCCAATGCTATTGTGTCTGTGGGAACAATTATGTCCCACTGAACTTCGAAATTTTGTTAAAGAGAAAAGAAATCAATTACTTCATTTTGAGAAGGGGTCATCTTTGCTTTCTAACTTACCACTCAAGTGTAAGAACCACAATTTCAGAACTTTTAGCAGCTATGGGTCTTTGCATTGTATCAAGCACATGTTATATGATAGGCAATTCATTCAATATACTTGAGGCAAAAATAAAATACTTTTTCAATTTGTAGGTCTCCATTTTTAAAATGGAACATAATCTTACTTTGTAAGTGATTTTTGTTAAGGACTTTGTTGTCTAGTGATAATGTCTTATAAATAATTATGATTATATTTAGCTTGAGTGACAAAATAACATAAAATAATTTAAAATATAACTCATGGTTAAGACAGTGAGATAGTCATCAAGAGAAAGGACTCTGGAGTTAAGCTTCCCAGGTAAGATAAAAGTCACAGCTCTATTTGTGGCTCACTGTGTGACATTGAAGGAGTTACTGAAGTCTCTGAAACTTTATTTTCTTGTATGCCAGAAATACAAATGCAAAGACCATCTTTTCTCAGAGATTTGTTTTGATTATGAATTTAAATTCATATAAATCTTTTGACAGTGTCTGGTTTCTAGTAAATGTTCAGTAAAATATTAGTCATCATCATCATTATTATTATTGTATTAACTAGGGCCATTGCTATGTATTGACGACCTGGCACTTTGATAAATCTTTATAAATGTAATGACTCTGTTACTCAATGATCCAGTATGATCAGATTAAAGAAGAATACAATTATATTTACTGTACCTAAACACATAGCATATTTGCCTTGACATTTAAGTGTAAGGAGAAGCTCTAGGGTACTTCTTTCATAAAAAATCAACATGAATTAAAGTACAAGGGGACTAGATTTGAAACATGGATAACTCCTTCGGACAGCCTGCAAGTAAAAATATTTAACAGAAAAGTATGAGTTTGACCACTTCACCTCAGAACAGCTGTGCTGGATTTTCATGTTAAAAAGTCAAGGGAATGACTATCTTTGACAAGAGCCTTCTTTCAGGCAATTATAAGGGAGAGGGAAAAACATTGCTTGTCAGCAAATGTAGCAGCTCCTTCTCCATTTACCCAGACTTCTCTCTATAGGACTTCTAGCCCCAGGTGCAACCATTGAAGATGTAACTCCTGAAGTGTGCGAGTGCATATGAGGAAGAAGGGCAAATGAAGAGAAGATGTCTTGGTTTTCTCAAGTGGAGATCAGTCACAATTAAATGCTTTCCTACAGTATACTTAGTGGATAAAGCTCCCATAATTAATACCATTCATACTATTTTCAAGTAACCTACGTGAAAATGGCTCATACCTGCTGTTGCATCTACGGGAGAGTCATTTGATTAGCTAAGCCACCATGAACAAAACAAAAGATGCAATAATATAGCTTACCTGTAGCAAAGAAGCGTAACTACCTGTCACACCACATCTCAGAAGTTTGGTCTAAACATCACACCAGAATTTAATATATTTTTCCACCACTTATTTTAGCCTGGAACTCCTTAGATAAGCAATTTATTGAGCCACTAGAACTACTGATCAAAAAAGTCTCAGATTATAACTCAGCAATCGGTATTTCAAACAGCCTTCTGGGTAATTCTGGTGTATACACAAGTATGAGAACCACTGTTTTCAGCCAATGGAAAAGATTCATGTTCACAGTTCTCTCCTCATAATTCATTAAGAGGCTTTATATTGTCAAGCTCATGTCAAGTTCAGTGCATTGTATGTTGGGGAGAAGGTGGCTGAAATGAATTATTACATTTTCTTCCAAATATCCCATAAACTGGTTATGATTAAGATTTTTGGTTAAACCACATTTGACCCTTCAATACAGATAGCCCCTGCTTTGGCATTTTATCTAAAAGTAGATGCCAAGTAGGTCACTTGAAGGACTTTACACTATTAAAATGCATTAAGATATCCGTACTAATGAGGCGAAAGTTTTCATTGATGAAATGACTTCTGAATGCACTTAGCTTTAAACAGTAAAAGAAAAAGAATAGATTTGTTCAAAGAAGTGTACCTCCACAGAGGCAGGTTGGAGACCACGTAGGGTCCACTGTGAGCTACCATGACCTCAGCTGATTTTTCAAGTAATTTCATTTCATGGGAATAATATAAAAATTTCTGGAGCAGTCATAAATACTTAGAAATATGCATCTAACGTTAAGCTTAAATATTTTCCCTTCTACCAGTGAAGTTAGTATGCAACTGAAAAATCTAATGTTTCATAATTTATTGTTGAAATATTTTCAATGTTAGGGAAAGCCGAAAGCAAAATATATGTCTTTATTAGAGAAAACAAAGTGTACCTGGGATGTTGGAATAAGGAAATGAATTCCAGAACCATGCTTGGATTTTGATAGGAGCAGACTCTGTTCTATTTCTTGAGACTACAAAGTTGAAATTAAATAAACATTCTAAAACATGAAACTAGAAAATCATTGTGTGCTATAGTTTAATTCTGATCCTTAAAAATCTTCCATTGCTTATCAAAAATTCTAAATCTAAATTAGATTGTTTTTAACAGAGTATATTAAACTTTATTTTGGACTATTTTACATTAACTCAAAAACATTTTATAGTTGCAGAATATCACTGCCATTTTTATCTTTTGAAAGGTCAGAAAGAAATACATATTTCATGATCTGATCTGTTAACAAGCATAACTATCATAGGATCTATTAGAACCTCTTCCGTGAGTTCCTGTAGATACTATTTATCAATATGATCTTATGTGTGAGGAGTAGTCATATATAAGATTTGACCCCTCACTGCTATTAGAATAACAGGTGGCACATGGCAACTATTTAATAACTATTGGCTAAATGAAGTAATTGATGAATAATAAATAAGCGATGGCAGGTACATTTTTGCGGCATCATTTATCCTCACAATATCTTGAGAAGGAAGGACTAAGAAACGTATCAGCACTGCGATACATCCAATATATTATATATATTCAAATTATATACAGTATATATTACATATGTATATATACACACATATGTGTGTATGTACATGTGTGTGTATCTGTGTGTGTGTGTATAAAATGTCTGATCCCAGATAAGCCTAGTTACAAATTCTCTGCATCCATTGTCCCCAGTATATCAGGCTGCTTCAAAACTTATAGATATTTATAATTTCTATATATGTATTTCTATTAAATTGGGGCTTAGACCTTCAATACGTTGGAGTATGTGTAAGCGTGTCCCATCCATCCTTGCTGGCTTTGCTTTAGCAGCCTGAAGGTTCTTGATTGATTCTGACCAGTCAAATGCACACCCAAGTGGACATTTAAAAGAAATAGTTCTTTCTATGTATGGACAAGGTGAGAAAAACCTATTCTGTTGTAACTTTTGGAATGTTTTACAAGGTTTCTCGAATATACGTCTATCTCTAGAAAGACCCAGCAATAATAAACAGCGTGGCATCTTCAGTTGAAGCACACTGTCACTTTCTCAGGTAAAACTTAGTTTCCCTTTTCTCGAAATCCTTCTATAATGATGTGAATTGTAAGGTGATAGGGGGTGAAGGAAAGGAAGGGAAGTTACGGTCAAGGAAGAAGGAACAGCATAATGTATGGCTTTCTATTAATGCTAGTATTATTGCCACTTTATTTCTAGTGATCATATTAACTTTCCTGAAATATTAACATCTATCTCTTAGAGTAGTTTTCACCATGGGAAAGAAAGAAAGAAGTAGTTTTCAACCATGAAAGAGCTTTATATGGCTGTCATTCCTCAACTTGAAATAGTATGAAATTATTTACGTATGCACATTTAGGAGGGGAGAGGTTATAGCCTTTATCAAATTATCAATGATGTCCGTAACTGAATAAAGCAAAACAAAATACATTAAGAGCCTTAAAGAATGGTGCTTAAAAATAGAAATTAGGCATGCAAGACAAATCAAGTTATAACAATGATGATTAATTGAAAGGGGGGAATATAGGTAATTAAGAAATTTTATCAAAATCGACACAATAACCTAATTATTTCAAAACTGTATAATG